GATGTGCTGACTGTTGCGAGCTTGTTACTGCGCTCGTGTTCAGGCCAGTGCCCCAGGTGTGGGCGCAGCCTGTGCGCGGGTGAGGGTCTGCTCTGGGCTGAGCTGGTTTTCATGTTTCAGGTGCCCCCATGGTGTCCCAGATGACCACCTCTGCTCTGGCCAATAGCTTGGCCATAGAAGCTGTTGCTGATGGACCTACGTCCACATGCCTTGACCAGCCCGGCCCTTCAGACCCTTCTGAGCAGTCGGAAGTGCTGGAGCTGCCTGCACGGCCAGACAAGGCCCACGAGGCAGATGGTGGGGAGGAGCTGGATCAGCCGGACATGGAGACCCTGGAAGAGATGATGGAGGTGGTGGTGGTGCAGCAGTTCAAGTGCAAGATGTGTCAGTACAAGAGTGTCTCTAAGAAAACGCTAATTAACCACATGAAAGAGCGGCACTTCCAGCCAGGTGTGTGCTAAGGGCTGAGGAAAATTTATCTTATGGCAGACAGGCTGTGCTCACTCTGGGGAAGAACCAAGGGGAGGAGTATGAGTGCAAGGACCTGTTCTGCCACACAGTCTGGTATAGAGTGTTCGTGGTGTTCTCTGTGGCAGCGGGTTCAGCTCTGGCGTTGAAGAAAGGACGTCCACGAAAGGGCGGATCTGCCCCAAAGACTGCGGAGGAGGAGGTCCCAGAAGAAGAAGAGGATGATGATATCATGGATGCTGGCGCTATTGATGACCCTGAAGGTAGGACTCATCCTCCCTGCCTCTTACGTAGTTTAATGTTTCCTCGGTCTCTGTCTGACATTTTGGGCCCCTTGCCTCCAGAGGACAGTGACTATAACCCAGCCGAGGATGAGCCCCGTGGGCGACAGCCCAAGTTCGGCCGCACTCTCCCCACATCCAGCGAGGAGAGGCCGCGTCGGCGCCCGGGGAGGCCCCGAAAGTTTCCTCGTCTGGAGGGCATGCCCCAGGACGTGCCTGAAGGTGAGAGAAGCAGGAGACAGCAGCCCCATGCTGGGCTGGAGCAGGGAGCGGTACATGAGCTCCCGGGAGCCCGCAGGGAGGCTGTGACGGAGCCGTGCCATGTTCCATCAAGCAGGAGGGGATGGGGAGCCCCTGGGGACGC